AATTGAGACATATAAAAGTCTCAAGTTGAGACTTTTAAAAGTTTCAAGTTAAGACTTTAAAAATCTCAAGTAGTGACTGACAAAAATCTCAAATTAAGACTTTCGAAAGCCTCAAATTAAGACTTCCAGAACTTAACTTTAAGAAAAACCTCAACCTTTCCCTGAATTCTCGTATCAAAGTTAAATGTCTCATCATCAGATGACCTAATTAAATTCGTGATCGAATTCGGTCAAGATGGCATTGGGAAGAACATTTAAAATCTCAATTGAATTCCTTTTATCATTTATTTTTCCAGTTATCTTCGCAAAACGATTGGTCACCTACACACACACAACATATATCTGAACATGCCCTAAAAGTCATATTCGAACTCCTGCGGCCAAAATTAATTATCCTGAGCCAAAACATTGAAAATTTCGGATTTGGCGAGCACAATGCCTCCATTCGGAAGCGAAATCCCCAATTGAAAATCCCCAGTACTGCCCAACTGCATTATTTTAATCACCCAGTGACCTTCGGTTAACTCCACATTGAACCGCCCCCCGAACAATCTGCCCAGCCCCCAGGATAAATCTTCCACCCCCGTTAAAATCACCCGTCACGTTTTTACTGTTTACCCCGACCCTCAACCGTCTATTCGCCCAACGAAACTCCTTGCAACCGGCCCTAACTCAATTCCCAATCACGACAAAAAGAAGAAAGCATAAAAAACTCCAGCGAGTGTCAAAACGGTAACGACTTTAGTTGCAGTCGTGAACAGTAAACACAAGTGGAGAAAATAAATAACTCTAGAGTGCAGTGTAAACGAAACGACGTAAATTTCGAGTTAACTGGAATTGTTTGAAATTCGCTTTTCCTCATTGTGTGCAGCCTCTTGTTCGACTGGGAAACGTTAAAACTTGGGTGGTACCAATATAGATTAAGACATTCTCACCAACTCCTGGCATCCCATTATCCATTGAATTAACAATGTCAATGATTCTATTCAACTTTGTCTCTCTATTCCCCTTCATTTCCTATATTTTCATCATTTGATTCTCCAAATTCCCCAACTGTTCATTATTTTCACTTAAAAATTTTAGTATTTCAAGAGTTGACAAGCAATTTTGATGCACGGAGAGAAATTTTTTAGAAAAATTGTAGTACTAGCACGGGAAAAGAGGCGCAAAGTGGCGGCCAGGAAGAAATTCCAGTGCTGGCACTAGAAATTTTATTGGGGAAAACGTGAATTTATCCCCGTATTTCTGTGAAAATTTCACAGAAATCCCCAGAAATATTACTTTAACAGCACCAGCATTTTTCGCAGCCAGTGGATTGTAATTTTTTCCAGTACTCGTACTAGAATTTTTCTAGAAAATTTCTCTCCGTGTGCTTCATTGAAGAATATTGTCCCCAAAATTGCAAACGTTCTTGAAAACAAAATTGTGAATATTTTTATTCTTAATAAGACCTGAAATTTTTATTCATTTCTCTATTGCTGCGTGAGAGGAGCCCTTTTGAAACCATCACGTGCCAATTCCCTGGAAGACATGCCAATTTATAGTCACAATAATTAATTCATGACGTTGTAACCGTTTTTTCATTGCATTTTTCATTTTCTTAGTACCATAGTACCCCACAAGATTTTTCATTCTCCAATTCAGATGTTCACCCGAACAATGTACTTGTGTGTACGTAAATTGTATTATTACAAAGCGCTCGGGTTTTTCCCTCTTTTCCTCTCATTGTTCCATTTACTCACTCGAAATATTTTTTTACGTCGGGAATTTGTTGACGGATAATCCGATTTGGGGCATTTTCGTATAATGAATGTGGGTTTTGGCCAGCTAATGAGTGGCGTGCGGTGAGTAAACTAATACTCGGAAGATACATAATTTTTTTTTAATGTTTCGTTAATTCGTTTAACTCTGGTTAATGGGATAATAGCGGACACATGGGACTAGAAGATGTTTCGTTTTACTCCGACTCGTTCACTGGAAAAACTAGTGCCTGAAGTTAAGATAATTTTGTCAGCTTTTTTCAGACGTTTAGTGACTCAGATTGAGGCATTAAGACATGTGTCACAGACATTCTTCAGGTGTCAGGAGCAAGAACGAGAGAATCTTTTGTTTCACACTCATGATGTCTCAGTTGTTCTTCCGAATTTTTCATTGATCTTCTCTTAATTGTGAACCGTGATGTATGAATAGCCAAATTATTTGTTTAATAATAATTTTGGTTGCGGTAATAATAGAGATCATGGCGTAGAATTTAAAGGGAGTTGGGATAATCAGGGTAGAAGAATTTTTGTGAAAAAAAAAGTATTTTTGAAATGAAAAATACTGAAGAGAAGTATTTGTCCTTATGAGGAGACTGCGGTGAAATTTAAAAATTGCAGGGGTGTCCTTACTGTACTGATGATTTTAGTACTGATTTTTTTATTCTCAAAAAATGAGGACAAGTCGAGTTTTAATTTTTTTTCATTAACGACATGTGATTGTACAGGGATAAAATATTCAAAACAGTCCCCTTGCTGGGATTTTTGATAGGTTCACTTGAATTTTGGTTACCAAAAATAATGAACATTTAAAAAAATATGTGAGCTTTTTCGAAAATTTCAATTGTTTAATTTTTTTGGTTCGAATTGGTAAAGACAATAATATTGTGGTATGATGAAATTTGAAGATCATGACACATCCGTAAACTTCAATTTTTTTTATTTTTCGGACAATTCATTTTACAAAATTGCAAAATAACTAATGATCAAATAAAAATATTAATGATCAAAGACTAAAGATCAAAGAAATGATAAAAAATTGTAAGATCAATAAAAATTATAGCCTTCAATCTGCAGCATACTAAAACACGATTGTCACTGCCAATTAAAAAAAAAATTAATAAAAAAAATAGAAAATTGGAATTGAATTTTTTTTCATTTTTTTATTTTTTTTTATTATGTGTGGGGAAACCAAAATTCAAGTCAATCCATCGAAAATAAGTCTACGTACAATAAATTGGAAGAAAATAGATAAGTCCCCCAAAACGTCTTGTGATTTCATGTCTTAATGGGTTTAATGTCTTAATATCTTCAAGTGTCTTGAACTGAGACACAAAAAATGTCTTAAATTTGGTGACTTCTATTTCAAGACATCATGAAAATGTCTTGTCCATCAAACATTTTCCTTTTAACCGGAAAAAACGTCTTATTTAAAGCCACTCGAAATTGCAATCATCCCGACCTATTTACTGTCTAATGTCTCAAATTAAGACGTCCGAAGACACTAGTTTTCACAGTGTGTTTTCACCAATTATCCTCCGACATTTATTAAAAATCAATTGAAGTGAAAAAATAATACAGCGTACTCACGAGATAAATCCTCCAAGAATGATCATAATTTTACAAACAATCGTATTATTGATTTCAAATATTTATCAACACTTCTCTCCAGCCCGAAGAATCGCACGCCACTTGCAATCGCAGTATAAATTCACCTATAATTGTTTCACCTCCCTTCGTTCAATTTTTATTCACATTTTTTAAGTTCATTTTTCACTTTTTTTTCATCAATTTTCTCCTTTTCGCCATATACTACTGATACGGATAATAAAATTCACTGGCATTTGAATCACCTTGGCAGTTCATTGTGTTGAGAGTATAATGTGTGCGCATTGGCATTCCTTGCACAAAAGTGTCTTCGCCGTGTGCCTCTTTTATCTATTTATATTGCATTTTATCATTTTACGTTATTTCTCTTGTTTCGCTAATGTGAAAATGGCACACTGAGGAAATCAATTCATTTTAATTCTCATTTTCATTTTTAACTAGTCTGAATAATTCAGTATGTCTTGATTTTTATCATGACGAATATTCAGAATCATCGTACCATGTACACTGTTAAAAATTTTGGCGGAAACTTTCGGTGGACTTCTTAGAAACTTTCTATTAAATTTAATTATAATAATAATTCCCTTAATTAATTCAGTAGTGAAATGGTAAAGGGAAATAAGTCGACTCATCTCCCAGTTGAGTTTTTGAGGAATATTTCCGAATCTGAGGGAGATAGCGAAATTTTCGTAATTACATTTGTTGTAGCACTCAATCGACTCCACAAAAAAAGTTATACCAAAAATTTTGCTATCTCCCTTAGATTCCGAGATATTGATTGAAAACTGGTCAGTAGTCTAAATTGACTCATCTCCTTTTACCACTTGCCTACTGAATTAAATTATAGTTGCACTGGATTTTCATGAAATTTCGTTATTGAAAATTCTAAATTTCACCGAAAATTAATGGAGACTCAATTTCAGCCCAATTAATTGATAATTCAACGTAATTTGCTACTGAATATTCATGTTTTTATTGGAAATGTAAGTTTTGGTAAATTTTCAGTGAAATTTGAAATTCTATATTTTTTTAATTATCACCATTAGTCACTAACTTTTTTCCTTACCAATCCATTTTTTGATTTCACGAAAAAATGAATGGAAACTGCGAATTTCAGTTCTCAATTTGTCCCTGAATATTCACGTCTAGATTGAAAATTCCAGTGAACTAGTAAGTAAATTTTCGGTCTCCAGCTGTTCAAAAATTTGAAATTTCCTTGAATCCCCAGTGAAATCTGAAAATCACCAGTCAACTGTCGCCGAAATTTCCCTATTTTCCTAACAGTGCAATCCCAATCCCTCAATCATCGGAAACGTGTATTAATCTTTTTCATAATCGCATTGTAACATGGATGAGATGAAGTCATGATCGCTAAGGCGTATTAAATTGTTTTCGTAGCATTTTACACTCCTCTACCTACGTTTTCATCCTCTTCGAAGTACTAAAAAATGATGACGACATTGCTGAGTTAAGTACTCCATATCCCCACCCGATTATTACAATAATTTTTTTCATTTTTACGTTTTAATAAAAGTCACAGTACGACACAGGATAATTATATAATCCATATTGTTTTACAAGCATAAAAAAAGTTGCTGTTGAAACGTGACTACAGCACGGTTAAAACGACCCGTAACAACCAATACTCGTATATTATTTATACGTAAATGAGCGGCTCCACTTAATGGTGGTTTATGGTGTGCTCTTTTGAATCACGTGACGATGATGTGTGGCGCTGAAAATAGGACGGTGATTGTAGCAATAATGGTGAACAGAGTAAAAATGATTAGGCACATCCTGTCTATCACCATTGCCGCAAATTTCCAGTCGTTGGTTATCTTCGTATTTTCATCATTAGCTTTCAGCTGATCCGTGATTATCTGTTTTTTTCCAACATAACAGGGAGACAATGTCTCAGTGAAAACTGTTGTGAAATATACTTCAACCCAGTGGGAGTAATTTTTGGTTAAATAAATTAGCAGAACAATTTTAGTAAAGAATATGGTAAGAATTCATCAGTCTCACTTCAGAGTGAATGCTGAGATATTCTGATGATTTTTGACACATCGTTTTCTAAAATATATCCACTTGTGTATATCACAGCTGTCTATTTCACCAGAAACTACTGCCCTTCCTCCCGCGCCCCGCCGGCTGCGGTGCTCATGGTATTAAAAAAGAGGTCAATGAGGGTTTTTTCTCTTTTGTTTTGGTAGAGTTTAATCCGGGCGTGTGGATGGGAAAAAAATCTAGTTTGGACATGAGTCGAAAAGGAATAATCCTTCCCAAACACTCGCATATGAGATGGAGCGTATAGGGTGGAGTTGAGTCAGCTGTGGAAGATACTCCGGTAAGCTTCACGCTTTCTCTCTTTTTCACTCTAGTCGACTTCGCGGAAATATTTTCTACCACACACATTGGCATTGGCCATATTTGCTGACTTTGCGGATTGAAAGGGGGGGGGGGGGGGGTGGAAAGTTCGAGGGTTCTTTATTCTTCGATGTGACGGATTATTAATATCGGTTACAGGTGCTTTTCTGCAGGTTTCGGGAGAGGTTTCCTTATTCATTTAATATTTTTTATGTTATACAATTGTTTTTGATAACTATTGGGGAAATCTCTCGAATGAGCAAATTTTTAGTCTTGTATGTCATCTTTTGAATATATCACGTATATATTTGTAAAATATTATTTGTTTTTTCATATGATGTAGAAGAAGAATCAAATGAATAAGAGGATATGAGATTCATTTTCCTATTCAGAAAGAAAAATAGTTTCTAGTTTCTATTCTGAGGAGATTTCCTTGGAAATTACACTTTTTTGTCTAATTTCAAAAAAAAATCTCCTCGGAATAGAAACCAGAATATTAATTTCTCGAAAAGTAGAAGAATTTTTACATAATTGACGTTACTCAATCATTAAGGAGAGGAGGAGGCATATAAAAGCGTAAAACAAGGAAAACGTTGCCAACACCAAAGAGATGAATGAATAACAATAATAAAATAATATTCTTTCAATACATTATTGTCTGTCAGACATTCTGTATTAAAAGAAGCGCACTAAAGCTGAAGAAAGAATTCTCTAATACACTGAGAGAAAAGCGACAAAGTTCTCAAACAAGTCTTACTTGTGCCAAGAGAATAGTTTTTTGAAAATTATCAAAAAATAATTTTTTGCGCCAAACATACAGAGAGTGCGCCGGAAAAATAGATTTAGTAGTTAAAAAAAAATTGCATTCTCTGCATACGCAAGAAATGTCATTTCCAGCACTACTCCTTCGTTATTCGAAACTCCCATACGTATTTTGCTCCCGAAAAATCTTTGTTTTATGCGAAACAAGGGATAGTAGTTTTTCGTTTCGGCTGTCTAATAACCACAGACAAGAAATGAACCCTTAAATGAAACAATAATAATGATATGATAGCAATCTTGTAACTTAGGAATAAAATATTTGTTGATAAATTTTCCTCTGTATATTTTCATCCTGAAAAGGCACCGTCTGGTGTGAATTATCCGCCCCTTGAGCCAAATATTTCGTTGCTGTCGAAAGCAGAACAATTATTCATGTTTGAGACTTTCAAATTCGAACGAAATAAATTCTTTTTTGGCAGTTTTCAACTAGCGATTTTGTTGGCCCAAACAAGACTTGTTTGGCAACGTGTTTGTTTTTCTCTCAGTGTAGAATCGGCCAAAAACTAGTTTTCTATCGAATTCATTACGTTTTTCTGCGAATGAGAATGCCATACTTTACCTTGATTTCCTTCAAAATAAGAACGAGCTCGTAACGTGCACAAAAACATGCGCTCTGTAGTATCGTTTCAACCTGGGGCGTCGTACCATCCTGTGGATGCTGATGATGATGCGGCGTATGGCTCAATTGATGCGCTGGATACGATGAATGTGGTAAAGGCGTTGCGTGTTGATGATGCGGCGTTGGTGCCGGTGTATGACTGTGATGATGATGTGGTGTTGTGTGTATGTGACTGTGACCATGCCCCGACAGAGCATGATGATGAGGCCCCGGTGTACTGTAAACATTGTTTAACAGGTTGTTGTGGGATGCCAGGGCATTATCCTCAAGGTCCAATACATTCGCCAACAATGATTTGCTGCTTCTCTGGGGGAGCTCGAGATCACCGTATCCTTTGTTGGCACCTGTGGGTTATATTCATTTTTACGTTCAAACGAAAAAGGATTCGCTTTATCACAGCCGCATGAAATATGAGACTTTAGCAGCTAAATGTTTTGACAATAAAATCTCATGAAATGTTGAGTTTCATGGTGAAATGCTTTTAATGCTGTTCATACAGGGAAAATAAGTAATGGTTGAAATGAAGCACATGTGAACTCATAACTTTACACACCGTTGAACATCAAACTGCTCGTTATAAACATGAAGTACATAAAGGAGTTGAGAGTGTGCTAAAAATAGGAAAAAAACTTGGGTTTGAGATTGAGACGTTTTGTCCTCTTTTGGGAGTTTTTTGTGACCCTCGGTTTAGACCGGGTTTAGTGGCTCAAATTAATATGTTAAGACATTCAATAACTATTGAATAGTCTTCGAGTGCCTTGGGCTGAAGCAGAGAAAATGTTTTAAATTTTTTTACTTGTATTTGAGGGCATTATGAAAATGTCTATCAAACGTCTTGTTTTCGGACGAACAAAATTTTTATGAAGCTGGTGAGTTATTTCTACGTTCCGTTCTGTAAAATTTCTTAATCGTTGGGGAAAAATTACGGAACGATTGGTCCCCACTGCGATGAGTCATCAGACGAGTGGACTCACACTTTTTATTGAATTTTACTTCGCTCGCAGATTACGTTTCGAAACGGAATTTCTACGTTTTGTCTGGTGATTTTAATTGAATTTTTCTTTTCGTGTGAGGGAAATTATTTGTAACTTAGGGGTATCGTCAACGCGATGAAACACTAGTTTTCACAGAAATAACTTGCCTGTTACTGGTGAGGGCTTTTGCGACTTTTGAGCGTCTTTTTCCTCCTTGTCGCAAGGCCTCGACATTCTCAGAACACAGGGTAACCAGCCGAGAAATAGTACTTTCACCTGGGTGCAAGATTAACACATCATTAAGTGCGTGTTATCAACGGGGGCAATAGCTATTGGGGATTATCAATTACCCATTCAGACATTTCGTGAGTATCTGAGTTACGATGATGATAGTTCAGGATGAGAATTGTGCTGACCACGCTACTGGCGACCATGAACATTATACAATTGAAGTATGTACCTGTGAATCAGTTAAATAGAAACGACTTAGTCAGACATTTGCGCATGGGGCAGAATGCTGGAGAAATCTACGAGATTTATCATGTTCATGTTTTTCCACATTTCCATTTTTAGAATAACTACTTATAAACTACTATTTTCGTTGGGAATGAGTCCATTCATATGTTTATTTTAGATGGAAAGAAAGTAAAATTATTCTTTACTGTGGGAACATAGCAGATCTTAATGTGAGAAATAGAATGCAGAACCATATCTGCCACACTCGAAAATTTACTATTTAACAGTCATTTTGAGAACAAATAATACGGCTGACAAAATTAAAATGCGATAGAGTCTGTCGGAAAAATTACTATTGAATATAGTGAAAATTGAGAGTCAGTACAGTAGAAAACGGTAGCATAAAAGTTGAATTTCCAATTGACACGAGTAAAATTTAGATGGATAAACATGAATTTTTATTTTGTCGGTTAAAAAAATATTTTCTGCCCCTTTCAAAATGAATATTCGCAGGACGAGGGAGAGGGGGATTTTTTGAATAACCGAAGTGAAGAACCATATTTAATCTTCTTTATCATCCTTTACAATTATTATCAATAATTTTGCTCTACGTGTATTCATTCTGAAAAAGAGGTGGGAGGAGAGGAAGGATTGAATTTTTTAGAATTATTCAATCCGCCACCCGCGCCATTGCGTGGTCGACAGAGGGAGGAGACTCCAAGAATTGAAAACAATCGACGTTCTCGTTGTCCGCTGGAATTTTTACTAGTCAACATAGTAATTTCTGCAATTTCCTCGAGTAAAATGTAGGAGAGTTTAAACTAAAGTTTTAAATCGTAAGAAAAAATTACAATTTAACATAGTAAAAATTCATACGATTTGAGTAATTTCTCGTCGTTCAATAATAAAAATTGGTAAAAAATAAAGCGTTTTCAACACTTCTGGAAAATATTTTTTCGTTCGTGCATTTTATGCTGTTTTGTGCGTTAAAAATTACCACGTTAAATCGTAAAAAATGATTTTCACATCGCAAACGTTCGGTTAAAACGAATCAAATTTTATGTTGACTCTGTGAATATTGAGCAGTCGTTTACGTTCACCGGGACAATTTTTGACGGAATCCAGGGTAAATTTTTCTACAATTTCCTCACTTGTTCAGTAATTTTTCGTCGTGTTTTTTTTTAGTAATTTCTCGTCGTTCAATAGTAAAAATTGGTAAAAAAATAAAACGTTTTGAACACTTTTGAAAACAATTTTTTCATCCGTGCATTTCATACTGCTGTAAAAAATGAATTTCCCATCTCAAACGTTCGCTTAAAATAAATCAAATTTCAAAGTTTTCCGATATAGTCCTCGATTACTACATTCACATAAAACTTTTCAATTTTATGCTCTCTCCGTATAATGAGCATAAATTGTTTCCATAAAATCAACAGTTCATTTGCCCGAAACGAAGAATTGTTACATTTCAATAAAGTCCAATGTTAATAAAATCGTCATTCAACTCCCAGAAATGTTTGTCTACATCCAAAAACTATTCATTTGTTGTGACTAAAAGCGCAAATAAACTATATTCCATCCAAATAAATCGTTCCCCTTGGTCCATTTAAGTTTGAACTCAATCGACAAATCGTTTGATCAATCAGACGTAACAGCGACCTTTAGTGATTGCCATTTAATTATTCCAATCATCGAGCAGACAACAATTTATATCGCACTGTGACTGAATAACCCCAAGACTCACCTAATAACGGCACAGCATCGGACGTTGCTGGCATTGTCTCAGCAACCATGTTCAAGAACACTGTGAGGGACAGGAGAATCGTTACCCCTGCAAAGGATATCCATTATTCCAGTAATTACAACGTTACAGATAAGTAACACTAATACAAGAGGTTGAGGGCAGGAGCAGCAACGATAATCGTTGGCTGTAGTGGGCACATGGAGCTTGAACCGACGCTTGGCAAACGTGACACTCGAAATAAATGTCCAGATGAAGAAAATGGGGATTTGACCGCGAGTTGAATTGAACCATTCCATCGGTGATTGGCACTGTTCTCTCGTTCGAATTTCATTCTCCTGGTTTTTTTTGCGCGTTTCTATTGCCCTCTGTATTTGAGGAAACACGGAGGGAGGCTGGTAATTGTGAATTGGATTGTTTGATTGCATGGCTATTGGACGAGGGCGACCAGAATAACCACAGACTAAACAATGCAGAGGAACTATTTTGAGATATAAATGAACTCACCCAGGGACAATTTTTCACCAGAGTCTGGTGGCAGAGTGAAACCAAGGACAGCCATACTGGCAATTAGTACGCATGGTACTATTAAATTGAAGAAGTAGTAGAGTGTTCGTCTTCTTATTATTACGACGAATGTTATGTCAATGTAGGGCTCTGGACAGCAGTTGTAGTATATGACGTTCCTTTTACCAGGTACTCCTGTGGATAAATGATTTTTTAAATTACATTTTATACTCGAAGGGGGGATGAATGTTCAATTCGAGGATGATTATTGCGTATTTGCCCGGGCTGTACCAAGCGCTCTCAAGTGTAATATAAGGGTCAGACACTGAGTGTGAGAATATAAGGGTCAAAAAGTGGAGGTTAAAAAATGAGGGTCAGAATCTTAGGGTTAGAAAAAATGGTCAGAATATTAGGATAAAAAAATTAGGGTCAAAAGATAAAAGTAAAAAAAGTTGGTGTCAGGCAATGAGGGTCATATAAGGGCTAAAAACGGTGATCAAGCATAATATATGACTTATATTTAGACCCTCGTTGCCTGACACCCACTTTTTTTTACTTTTATATTCTGACCCTAATGTTTTGACCCTAATATTCTGACCCTCATTTTTTAACCTCCACTTTTTGACCCTTATATTCTGACACTTAGTGCCTGACCCTTATATTACACTTGAGAGGGCTTGCTACCACCCGGCCTGATACAAAGAATAATCTTCGAATTGAAATACTCATCCTCCAATTGAGTAGAAAATATACTTGAACACTGATAGAGTGATTCATTTATTTCAAACCAGATTCGTTAACTATTAATAAATGAACATTTGGTGAGACCAAATAGACCCTCGTCTCCAACCAAATCCATTCGTTAACAATAATTACTCGTTTCTATCAGTCAATCAAGTATATTTTATTCAATTCTATTGAAAGTTTTCGGACTGAAATAAAAATGAAAGTCAATTTGCAACTATATAGACGATTTTTGGTCATTTTCCGTACACAATTCAGTCGGGATTCTGACCCTGATGTTTTGACCCTAATATTCTGACCCTCATTTTTTAACCTCCACTTTTTGACCCTTATATTCTGACACTTAGTGCCTGACCCTTATATTACACTTGAGAGGGCTTGCTACGACCCGGCCTGATACAAAAGAATTATCTTCGAATTGAAATACTCATCCTCCAATTGAGTAGAAAATATACTTGAACACTGATAGAGTGATTCATTTATTTCAAACCAGATTCGTCAACTATTAATAAATGAACATTTGGTGAGACCAAATAGACCCTCGTCTCCAACCAAATCCATTCGTTAACAATAATTACTCGTTTCTATCAGTCAATCAAGTATATTTTATTCAATTCTATTGAAAGTTTTCGGACTGAAATAAAAATGAAAGTCAATTTGCAACTATATAGACGATTTTTGGTCTTTTCCCGTACACAATTCAGCCGGGATCAGTAAACGGTCATAAAACCGGTCTTTTACGTCCGACCCGACTGAAAGGGAACATGGCGGTCATGCCATTAATTTCTCCCACATCTCTGGGAGAAATTAATGATTAAATACGGCCCAGTTTATCTCTCCCCCTGTTCATCTCCTAATTTTTTTCTATAGTGACCACAAATTGACGTAAATGAAGAATAAATATTCTTCTGTTGATTCGAAAAATGATGGCCGTATTGTTACAAACAATTGATTGACACAACTCATAAAAGAAGAATGGAAACAAGTTCAAAACTCAAATAAAACGCAACTGAATGATCGTTTGTTTGTCAGCTGTGTAACAATAAGATGTTACTTCATCTTCGAATCACGTCTCGCGCGTTTGCTGCCGGGTCGACCGCGTACGTGAAGATTATCAGACTCGTTCGAGGTCAATCCACGAGCGAATCTGCAGTGAAGCAAGTATTCAGTGGTGGTACATGGGGAGAGTTTCAGAAAGGGAAAAAAGAAGGATAAAGCCTGTATATCCGTATATCCGGGAAATAAAAGAGTAATCGAGGAATTGAGACGAGAATCATGACCGGAGGATTCTCCGCATGGAAATCGGGAGCTCCTCGGGTTCCTCAAGTCTTCTTCGGTTTTTTTATGAATGTATGGAGACATCGATGATGGTGTTACGTGGTTGAGTGAAGGTTGTACTTACCCAACAAATCCCATTCGCCATTGGTGATGAAACTGCTTATGTCTCCGCCCGTCTCGTCCTGCAGTTGGAGATCCAGCTGTAAAGAGGAAAAATAGGATAGATTCAATAGAAAAAGTGGAAACAACGTCTTTATGGAGATATTCGAAATTTCGGGCACTCTGTTAAAAAATTTTGTCTGAATTTTCCGTGCTGAATTTCGGAAATTTTTATCGTGTTCCTATCCCACTGAAATTTCCGGAAATCTTGTCTTTGAAAAGTCAGAATTTCGTGGAAAAATCACACAGAACTGCCAATTTCCGGTCCATTTTTCCCTGGAAATGAATAGAAAATCAGAAAATTCTGGAAAATATATTCTTGAATTTTCAGGACAGTGACACTGAATCAGATTTAGGGGGAAACAAATCATGAAATTTCAGATTTCACTGGTAATGCAATGATGCAATGATGATTTCACTGAAAATGGCCCTTAAAATTCTGGAATTTTAATAAATTTCCGGTTGCACTTTAATGTGTTCAATTGAGACGTCTTGAAGACCTTCATTTTCACTTTGTATGACATAATCTATATTTTATCACGAAGTCCCCCCGCTAACGGAAACCCAAATACGCAACAGAGAAAAAAACAGAAAAGACAAATCACTTTGTACATTTTGTCAAATTGAAAAAAAAAATCACAACAAAATCTTGCCGTTTTATTTAAAAAATCTACTGAATTTCTATTGAAATTCTGTAAGTCTATTGAAGTTCTGTGTTCATGTCTATTGAAGATTATGCAACTTTACCATGTCATATTTTCAAAGAACGATTCTAACCAACAATTGAAAAAAAAAACACTATTTTTCCTTCGTTTCACTTCATCCGTTATTCAAATAATTTTTTGAATCGATAATTTTTTATGATTTGATAATTTTTGGCGCGGAAGCCTCCACCAACGAAAATTTCGACCAGTCACATAATACCTTTATTGCCGTGTGACACAAAATATTTTATGTCATTTTGTGTCATGGAGCGATGCGAGACATAACTTGCATTGTCCAATTTTTTGGATCATAATGCATAAATATAACACAATATAAAACAAAATGCAAAAACTTAATTTTAACGATTACAAAGCTTCCACTCGGAATCAGAAAATAGGAAAGTGGAAAGAGCCAGAGCCGAACAATTCGAGAAACGTACATTGCAGTTGGAATCAAATACTCGTGATGCCGGCAAGACTCTCGGTTGGATAATCCAAAGGAAATAAATCTGATGCTCCGGGTACACGCTGAACTGACTCACAAACGAAATGAATCTGGATAAAGGGAATTCCATTGAGCGTAGCGATTGAAACCCTCCGTATCCCATCCAAAATCCCCGAGACTCGGATTCTTCGAGGAGGAATGATGGGCGCGGAGGGTGGGAATGGAACGATGTAATTGCCTTTATAATCGATTATTAACCTGCCAATCGATGTCTCGGGTCTTCAGTCTTTACGAGCGATGTATCACCCTATCAAGGACGCGGTGGGAATGTGCTAAAGCTCCTGCCAGGGCTTTTTATTCGTCCGTCAAGATTCGGAGAGGGTTGCAAATCACAACGAGCGATGCGACACTGGAATTTTCATATTAACCTATCGGATGTTGGGGCGGAGAGACGAGAAGTGATCGCCCGGTGTAAAGTAGGTCGGGGTTGGATACGTGGAATAAAACATGAATTCGGTCAATTTTTTTTCGGGGTGATTGCAGATGCATGGAGGAATGGTTTAAAAAAACATCTGTCTAGACGGCTGGAATGAAAATTTCAGGGTGTCAATTGGTAATCGCGGCTGGGGGTACTTGGAAAAGTCAATTTTCGTGGGGTTGAGGATAAGTTGAAGTGTAAACAATAAGTAGGGGAGACCGGGGCACAATGAGACCCCTCAGTTTTTTTGTTTTCAATGAGACAAATGAGTCCAGTGTTTTTTTTTTCAATGTAACGCGTGTTATTTTAATATTTTCATGATATTATTATTCATTTAGAAAAATGAAAAATATGATGGAGATTATAAATGCGTTATGTTGCAAAATTTAATTTATTTTTTAATAATCAATGTGGACGATTTTCTTTGGCACGAAATTACGCGCTTTTAATATAGAAATGTTATTTTGAAGTGCAATGTATAATTTTATCTTTATAGCAACTTAAACAGGACAAAAGATTATTTCAATTGATAATTAATGCAGTTACTTCAAGCTTCAAATGACAAAATGATAAGAAAAATAATTGAGTGACCGGTCGTGTCAGAGGTTGACACATTTCGTCCTTTTATTAAATTATTCCAATATTTTTTGGCTGTAAATTTCCGATACACTTTAAGGGAATTTTTATCACATTTGAGTTCCACTAAAATTTCGAGAAATTTCGTCGTTGAAAATGCAAAATCTCATGGAAAAATTAATGAAAACTGCAAATGTAAGTTTAATTATTCCCTGAAACTTGCCAGAAATCAGGAAATTTTCAGTGGATATATTCTTAAATTTTCAATTCATTGGAAATTCAGCGTAATTTAACACTGAATATTCATTTTTTCGTAGAAAATTCTAATAAGTTGAGGAATTCTTGTCTCAGTGTTGCTTAAAAATTTAGAATTTTCTGTGTAATCTGAAATTTTATAATTTTTTCCCCCTAGATCGCATTCAATATTTATCATCTGAAAATTACTAGTCGGCTGTCTATGAAATTTTAAGGACAAGGGTCGATTGATCATAAACCGAGTGGAATAATTAAGTCTCTCCCGATTGACCTCACGAGGATTAAACTTCGTCATGGTCATACTTTTCGAGGATGAAACCTCGCAAGTATTATACCTGGTAAGAGTTGTGTCTCGCGAGGGTAGAACGCCGCAAGGATCCAATGTCGCAAAGATTATGCCTCGCCAAGTTTATGCTTCGCATGAACTCGAATCTTTGAACTCCGAATGCATCAAATTCTCTATACAATTATTTTCTTAAACAATAGTTTCTCGTCTGACGAAGGCATCCCGTACATTCGGGTTATCCAGACACATAAATTATTTATCACAAAAATTTGACACTCACACTAATCTTCGCCCGGAATTTTTATTTAGGTCTTTCCAATTTTTCAAGATTTTTTTAGATTTTAATCTTTTTCTAAACTCGAATAGCTGGTTTTCTCATAAGACTCTGTGTTATTTCGGCATTTATTAATTAATCATTATCAATAATATTAGATTAAGAATTGAGCGCTAATTTAAACAGAATAATTCTATTCTTATTAAGGATGTATTACACCCTTTTCGCCAAAATTCACGTTTTTTGAATTTTTCTGGCAAACTGTTGTCCGGACTGATGTGAAAAAATATACCGTTTTTGCATTTTATCATTACTTAATAATTCACGCAATTTCATGGTCGTGCAATCATTTTCCTGCGTTTTTTCTAAAACTTCGAAAATTCACAAAACTTTAGAAAAAATGCAGGAAAATGATTGCACAACCATGAAAATTCGTCAGTCAGTCAATAATGATAAAACGCAAAAACGGTATATTATTTCGCGTCAATCACATCAACAATTTGCCAGAAAAATTCGAAAAATGCGAATTTTGACCGAAAGAATTTTCGAATTCTTTTTTTTTTTTTTTTTTTCTTCAATTTCCGTTTAGATTTTGGTCAGATTGTAATCTTTGAAATCTGAGTTATATTTACATTACTTTACGTCTACTAACAATGGGGAATTTCATTAGTAACTGTAGAACAATCAATCATTTGTGGAAAATATTAAATTTTACAGGGGTCTCATTTTGCCCCGGTCTCCCCTACACCCGGAAAAATTATGCTTTTGAATCAAATCAAAATTTTCATTCGAAATGTTTTTACATATTTCAAGAAAAAGTATTTAATTGCATTGAACAAAAAATTTATTCACTTCAAACCACGTTACAATTGGAAAGTTACTCAGGTAACAGTAAATTAATATTATATACAGATGGTCGAATGTAAACAGGAAAAAAAGATTCGAAGATCAATATTCCAGTGAGAAAACTGCTCTTTCATCGTGCATTGGAACTCTAAAGTGAATTTTAAGTTCACATTTCACTCCGGGAAATTCTTAATAAATAAAAACTTGGAATTTCTTTCGCCGATTCATCCAGCTCCTCCGCCAAGTTTTCACGAAGCGATCTCCACTAGAAATTCAATTTCACTCCCAATTTCAACCCTCAGAGGGATGGAATATGATCCATAATAGGTGCCTTAAGAATATTCTCCATAACAGAAACCCAAGAAAGGGGAAAAAAGAAATTATTTTTCTTTGTACCTTGAGATATCAAGAAGAACGAGAATTTTCTACTTGCGAGGGATGGGGTGGATTCAAGTGAAACGTCTCCCTAATTAATCAGCCCAGGGCTTCGACCTGAAGAGATGTAATTCAGGTTTTTACATCGTAATGACTTGCTACATAAAAACTTGCATTGAGAAAGGTTTTTGTACCGGTGATAACGAAAGGGAGCAGTTCATTAACGCCGAGAAATTAAGTTTCAGAGATAAAAACAGGGAATAAAAATATTGTTTATTTCAGAAATAGAGTTGTAAGGTGTTCTGAGAATTTTATTAGCTGTGCACTCAGAGAAGAAATTAGCTCGGAAAAACTATATGTTACACTTGAGAATATTTATTTGATGCACGGAGAGAAATTTTCTAGAAAAATTCTAGTACGAGTACTGGAAAAAATCACAATCCACCGTCTGTGAAAAATTCTAGTGCTGTTAAAGTAAAATTTCTTGGTATTTCTGGTAAAATTTCTGGGGACTTCTGTGGAATTTTTACAGAAATACTGGGAAAAATTCACGTTTTCTCCAATAAAATTTCTAGTGCCGGCACTGGAATTTTTTCCTGGCCGTCACTTTGCGCCTCTTTTCCCGTGCTAGCACTAGAATTTTTCTAAAAAATTTGTCTCCGTGTGGAGCGGATTTACTTCAGGGAAATCAACCAACTTGATAGAAGAAGATTTAATATAATTTTTTCCCAAAAATTGTTTCCCAAATTTTTTTTTTCCCAAATTATTATAGGGGAGGAAGAGGTAAAATGGACACTTTTGACTTTTTAAAAAATATTCATAACTCAGAAACAGATTTATCAATTGCGCTCAGTCTAAACTCATCACAAAGAGGAATCATTGTTCTTTCTATTGAAAAATGAAATTATTCTATTTCATGAACAATCCAACAAGTCATGAACATTTCAAAAAAAGTCAAAAGTGTCCATTTTACCCCACCCTCCCCTAGTAATATAAAACGATAAATGATGTACATTAACAGAAAATCACGCGAGAAATGACCATTCGGAAACATAATGCTAATTTATTCGCAGAAAAGCTAGGATATATGAAGACAAAAGTAATTTCCCCCTTATTTTTATTCGCCTGCAAATTTGTTTTATCGATTTATCGAACTGATTACCTGAAAACCGTCGTAGGTCCATGAGCCGAATTTCATCTCGCAGCGCTGATCGTCAAATGGAAACCATGTGATATCGATCTTGCAGGTGCTTTTGAAGATACCTGGTGGCACGTACAAACATGTGCCATTGTCCTTGACGACTACGTTCGTTGGGTAGGTACCGTCAAAGCCCTCGTCAGCACTGGAAATTATTTAAACGATTAATATTCTTGGGAATTCCATTGCGCAAAGTGGAGTTATTTTTGAGAGAGTCAAAACATCAAACAGAGCAAATCTTGGACAATGACGAATTTATTTTGAAATTGAATACTCTATCTGAAATAAATCTATGATTTCATTAATTGTAAACAGCGAATAACGGTTTATTTTGGTTGATATGTTCCTATTTATTAAAAAAAAAAGGATCGTTACCCAAAATGATTTTCGATTTTTATTTCACTTTTAGGAATTCTCCGTGTAATAAAATGAAGCTCTTGAATGCAAACGTTGAAGCGAACAATTAATACAATTGAATTTTATACATAAAAACTATTGGACATAGATACACACGGAAAAAAATATACTTGATACAACACTGAGAAAAATTTCAATGGTAATTTTAACTCCAAGGGAATTGTCAAAGGATTTATATTTACAGTAACAATAAACTTTGCAGATTAAACTAGGATTTATCGTTCGATTTACTTTGTCAAATAGTGTTATCAACATTATGATGTAATTTTCACCTTAACGTAATATTTGAATCCACAATGTTTATTGTTACCGTAATTATTATTTTTTCGATAATTCCCTTCTAATTGAAATTACCATTGAAATTTCTCTCAGTGAAGTATATTTTAATCTCGAGTGGAGGATGGGTGTTTCAATTCGAGGATGATTATTTCGTATCAGCGGAGCTTGCACGAAGCGCTCTCAAGTGTAATATAAGGGTCAGACACTAAGTGTGAGAATATAAGGGTCAAAAAGTTGAGGTTAAAAAATGAGGGTCAGAATGTCAGGGTTAAAAAAAGAGGGTCAGAATATTAGGATAAAAAGATTAGGGTCAGAATGTAAAAGTAAAAAAAGTGGGTGTCAGGCAATGAGGGTCATGTAAGGGCTAAAAACGGTGATCAAGCATAATATATGACTTATATTTAGACATAAGTTTGTTTTTTGCCTGACACCCACTTTTTTTACTTTTATGTTCTGACCCTAGTGTTTTGACCCTAATATTCTGACCCTCATTTTTTAACCTCCACTTTTTGACCCTTATATTCTGACACTCAGTGCCTGACCCTTATATTACACTTAAGAGGGCTTGCTCCAACCCGGCCTGATACAAAAGAATCATCTTCGAATTGAAATACCCATCCCCCAATTGAGTATAAAATATACTTGAATCAATGGATGTGTATGAATAGATATATGAAATAAAAGGAAGGTATTCCCTGCAATGGAACTATTCTATGGGCAATCGGAAGAAAGAAATCCTGAAAATTTGATTGAAAAACTACTCTCCGAGTACCTCCCATACAGCCGTCCATATTCCGCATGAAATCATGACAGCCATAGCCATCCTCAAATATTCATGGACCCTAATGGATTTACACGTGGTAATCATTGATAAAATATTTGCCAATGGAAATTCGAAAAATCCTGGAGGACGAGAGTCCCCCAGCTCAGGATAAAGAGGAGTTTGGAAGGGATGAGGGAAGGGGTTATGGTACTCGCAAGGTTGAATGCTCATATATAGTACATGCAGCCCTACATCCAGGGGCGGCTGAGGATTGGTTGGAACTTGGCCAGTTGGCCGCAACCCAATCCGTTATTTCATTCTTTTCGAAAGCCCCCCGATGCACCCCCTAGCTCCTCTCCCACTCGCATACCCTCTCACTCCCCTCTCTTGCCCCCCTCCCGCCCCTTTGATACCGAGCCCGTGGTCCGCTATATCTATCAGGCCACTGCCCCGCCCACATTTCGCTTCTTTTCACCACCGGGAATTCCTGGAATTATATAGATAAGTGATGTCTCTGTGTTTATATGTTTACTTCGATTCAATCGATTGATTTTGCTTTTTTAAAATTGTTGGATATTTTTTTTGTATTTAAGAATCATATACGGAAAGAAGAGTTCAGTAAAATTTCATTTTCATTCGTCCCCGTGACCGTCAGATGGAAGTAAGAAAAAAATACGCTGACATACTGACAGAAAAAATTAATTTTATCAAGAGAATTTTGATTAAACTAACTTTCATTTGGTTGTTAAATTTCAAATAAACATGATTTCGTAGTGAATACCAGTTATCTCTTCTTGAGATACATTTGATTGGGAGACATCGAACTTCTCTAGAATTGAAGTTCCTTTTATTTGTCGCAATAATGAGAGTATTTGATTTCTTTCTAGCCAAAAGTTTGCCAACTCCAGAAATTCGTTGGTTTACTCAAAAATCAAAATTATTCTCATGACTAAATACGTTGTTATCTCAATCAACACGATCATACGTTGTTCCAAGTAAATTATAATTGAAGTGAGCATTTCGTATGTCGAATCAGGATGAATATTGTTACGCGGAAAAAGCTTTGAGATTGTAGTAAGATGTCGTTGAGTTGAAAGAAGTTTATATTTCTTGACTAAAAAAAATCGCATTAGTTTACAATAACAGAATCACAGATTACGGCAATTCTACACAAACTTGGATATCACAAATTTCGTTCAATGTGATGTACGGAAAGCTCAATTTAAACATCGGCTTCATTCGAGAAAACAGAATTCAATTCATTCCTCAATGTAATCATCTCCTCGGTACGAATTTTTTATCAATTCATGAAAGTAGAAAATTTCTCGACTGGAGATTATATTAGGTTTAAAAAAATATAACTTTTCCATTTTTGTGGTGAATACATTTGACTTGACGTTCAGGACTGTTTTATTTGATTCAAGTGAATGTATTTTAAGAAGAAAATTGATATTCACCGTAAGATCTTATTCATTTGAAATTGGTTCAAGATATAATACTCGTTCCAAGAAGAAGACATCTCAATAAAAATAACTTTCTATCAGTGTACGAATGAAAGTGAAACTGTACTGAACGCGTTCGGTGAATGATTCGGGATAATTTTTTATTGAATGCAGGGTAGATCTTGCAGTTGCGGCACGAATTACCCTCACGTTCAGGAAATTCTCCCGAGCCAACGGAGGAAAATTCACTATTACAAGTACTGACCATCGAGTTCGCTCCGCGATTACTTACTTGTTTGGTAATTTTTCTCCAACTTTTTTCGCCGTGTGGCGGTATAACGTGTCCCGTGTCTGCACTGCGGGATGGCCACAAGTCGATAAAGGGAGACACTTTGGTATGTATTTGTCCACTCCCCCCCCCATTACTTCCTCCATTTTTCACCGATTTTCTCGGTTACTTTTTTACCTTAAATTGTTTTTTGTCAGTAGAGCCTCGGCACAGGTACCGCATGAGGTAACTCGTTAAACGAAGTGACAGTGTTATTAAAGTTAATTACCCCGCCGCGTACCCGCCCGCACCGTCGACCCATTGTGACGGCGTTTCACACGGAACACAGCCTGTCCCGAATGAGAGGGTGGTATGAAGAGGAGGCGTTGGAGGGAGAACCGAGAGCTTCAGTAAGGAGTTAAAAAATAACCAAAGCAAGAGTGGAGGGGGAGAAAAATGTGGAATACGATAGAAAATCCTTAGTGCTTTTATTCATGTGAAAATGGCCGGTAAGCCGGGGCTAGGTAAGCGTTGTGCTCACCGAGTTGGATGAAACAAAACGCACTGGCATAGTCAGTAAATGGTAATCCGAGGAACACAATAATTCAAAAGTTTCGGGTAAAACAGCGGATTTTCATTGTATTTTGAAATATCCGCGGAATTTCTTCGTTTATGAAAATGGAAACTACGAGAATAAATCGAGGGAGTGGAGGAATTCTTGATATCCTGGTGTTACTTACACGAAAAAAAAAAAATCAGTAGCGAAGTGGTAAAAAGAGAAGCCAATTTTGACTATTGACCAGTTTTCAATCAATATCTCGGAATCTGAGGGAGGTAGCGAAATTTTCATAATGACATTTGTTGTAGCACTCAATCGGCTCCACAAAAAATGTTATTACAAAAATTTCGCTATCTCCCTTAGATTCCGAGATATTGATTGAAAACTGTTCAATAGGCAACATTGACTCATCTCCTTTTACCACTTCGCTGCTGAAATATACTTGATTCAAGTCTATTTTATACTCGAATGGGGGATGGGCGTTTCAATTCGAGGATGATTATTTCGTATCAGCCCGCGTTGTACCAAGAGCTCTCAAGTGTAATATAAGGGTCAGACACTAAGTGTGAGAATATAAGGGTCAAAAAGTGGAGGTTAAAAAATGAGGATTGGAATATTAGAGTTAAAAACTGAGGGCCTGAATGTAAAGTTGAAGGAATGAGGGTCAGAATATTAGGTTGAGGTTAAAAAAAGAGGGTCAGAATATTAGGATAAAAAATTAAGGTCAGAATATAAAAGTAAAAAAGTGGGTGTCAGGCAATGAGGGTCATATAAGGGCTAAAAACGGTGATGAGGCATAATATATGACTTATATTTAGACCCTCATTGCCTGACACCCACTTTTTTAACTTTTATATTCTGACCCTTATTTTTTAACCACCACTTTCTGACCCTTATATTCTGACACTTAGTGCCTGACCCTTATATTACACTTAAGAGGACTCGCTACAACCCGGCCTGATGCAAAAGAATCATCTTCGCATTGAAATACCCTATAATTCACATAATAAGGTTTTTTTCCGTGTTTAAAATTAAGGAAATTAAATATAAAATCGACAAGCACCTCCCAATGCATCTCCCCACCTTGTTCAATACTGCAAGCCCAGTGTAAAGGTCGAGACAATAGAATTCGTCTTCGTAATGAGCAGGTGATTCGGCGTAGAGTGAGCGAGTGGAAATAGTTTCGCACAGTAGTACATTTACGGGAGTAGGTTTCAATGGTTCTAACCCATTTGTAACACGATCTAATCATCCCCCGGAGCCGCCCCTATCGAATCTACCTCCTGCATCTGCTTTCTTCCCAACGATACAAACTACAATCAAAGACCCACCAAACCGATCCACTATATTGAATTGGAAACAATTCAAATCTAATTTTCGAGCCAGCTTCGAGCACTTGGCGGAGAACGATACTTCA